TTCAAGACAGAGTTATTCTGTGCAGCTCTGGCTATCCTGGAACTTGCTCTGTAGACCAGGCTGTCTTTGAATTGACAGAGATCCCACCTGCCTCTGCCTTCCAAGTGCTGAAATTAAAGGCATGTGCTACCATGCCTGGCTTCTCTATGATCTAATATCTTCAAAACCTGTACCACCTGGGAGACTCTTAAACACAACCAAAGTTCTAGACCAAAGTTCCAAAGTCTTTCAACAACCCTGTCATAAACAACACAGTCAGATCTGTCAGCAATACCCCACTTCTGGTACCAATTTCTGTGTTGACATGAAGCTGGAGGTAGCTGCAGAGAGATGTTAGGTATAGAGGTGAATGTGTGGGTCTGGAGCTCAGTTCTGGACTAGAGAGACACACCAGTGTGTAGATGGTCCTTTTGGCCAAACAAGTGGTTGCTAAGAGTAAAAAGGAATATCCACCCCAAGAAACAGGGTCCCCAGATGGTACAGACTCCAAGGAAGAGAGGAAACTGAGTGTGGTGTTGTGGAAGCTTCCCTTACACCAGGAACAGTAGTGATCTTACTCTTGACTGCTAGTAACTCTCTTGTGGAGTCAGTTCAGTGAATGCCTAATTTCTACTGAGAGAGCAGACACCATAGCTAAGATTTGTGTCCTTAAACAGAACTTTCTCAACAACACACCGTATGGTAGGATCTTTGCTGTAAAGATTAGCTTGCTTAACAACACTGCTAAGTAATTAGTCAATCTGACCTTAACAGGGGGAGACTTAATTCAAAAAGATTGCAGCCAGGAGGAAAGGGACTGTTGCAATGGGGAGGTGGACCGTTGCAATAGAGACAACACTGCAATCATAGGATCTATGAGGAGTTAGGCAGAAAGGGATTCTCTTAAAAATGAAGAAACAGCTGGAAAGAGCAGGTTGTGAAGAAATAGGACAAAAGGCTTAATGGGATAATTGTTATGATAAATCTTTCCACCAAAGCCACCCAAGCCCTATCGCCATGTGGGCGGTCTCTGCCAGCCACCCGAGTTCTGCCCCCGCATGGATGGACAAAATAATACAGAGACGTATTAGGTACAAAGCTGCTTGGCCAATGACTAGGATTCTCATCTGCTAGCTCAGTCTTAATTATCATAAATCTATGTATTTTATAAGACTTATCTTATCGGACGCCTTATTGGCGTCCCTCCTTGCCAGTGGATCACATTACGCTGCTGGAGGAAGAGCGGAGGGAAAAAGAGGGAACTTCCTGTTTCTCCTTGCTCAAATATGAGTCTCCTTGCTATGTCACTTCCGGCCTGGATCTCTACTTCTCTCCATTTCCCAGAATCCTCTTTGACTCCTAGTCCTGTCTAACTTGCTGTTTCATTGGCCAAACAGAACTTTATTAAACAATCAATAAGATAAACATACACAGGAGTACTTCCCCCATCAAATAGTAAATCAGAAGGTCTCACTCAGAGACTAGTCTGTTCTCAGGAGAGGCTGTGTGCTGGCTAGCCTGAGGGTGGTTCAACATGCAGGCATGGGGGAATCTGAAGAAAGGAGAAATGCTAACCAAAATTTGGCTGATAAGCAGTTTAGTTTGCCAGTTTGCTGAGTCTGGGTGGATTTGCTTTCGTATCACTTTTCCTCACTGCTGAGACAAATGCCTGATATAAATCAATTTAAGGGAGAAAGGGTCTGTTTTGATTCAAAAGTTTGAGGGTATAGTCCATCTCAGCAGGAACTGCATGGGGCAGGGGTATGGGGAGGCTGGTCACATTGTGTCCACAATCAGGACTTTCTCTGTTTTATTTGCTCTGGGACCCCCAGCTCACTGAATGGTGTCATCTACATTCGGGATGGGTCTTCCCATTGCAACTGAACCTCTGAGGAAGGATACTCACAGACAGACATATCCCTAGGTTTTTTTTTTTTATTCCCTAGGTCAAACTAACAATCAAACACATCACTTTTACTCCAGGCAAGTTGGCAATCATAATCAACTATCACGGCCTCTCTGTTGCCCTAGTTAAGTTACACAGGAAAGAGAGATTCTTTATGGTAAGCCATTTTTCAGAATACAAGAAAATGTGGGGTAAAGAAGCGAAGGATTCTGTTAACTCTCACACTGCTTCCCAGCGTCAAAGGATGCAGCTGAACCCTAACATTGTCAACACGCTCTGTGATGTGAATTGCATCCCTTCAGTCTGGGTGACAACTTTACCTTCTGAGGCTTTAGTCCAGGGTTTGATGGCTCACCCTGTTCCTTGTTTTTTAACTTCAGGAATATATTCACCAGCTCTTGCCTTCTTTATCACCTTCCCCCTTTCCTCACTCTATTTCAATGTCTTCCCTTCTTTTTATTTGTTTAGCAATATAAAAGAAATTCTGATATTAAACATTTAGATTTTTACTTTATTTCATGTGTGTGCCCCCCCACACACACGTGTGAACCACACCCAGTCTAGGAAGGAGAGGCATCAGGTACCCTAGAACTAGAATTACAAGTGGTTGTGAGCCACCGTGTAGGTGCTGGGAATTGAACCGGGATCCTCTGGAAGAACAGCCAGCACTCTTCTCTGTTAAACCATCTCTCCAGCCCTCTTGACTCTTCCTGTGAAGGGGTTGCCATGCCTGGCTCACACTCTGAAGTCTACCCTAACGGCCCAATCCTCAACTGAAGGCAATGGATTTAGAGGGTTGTACCCTATGGACAGAACTCAGCTCCCATTAGTATTCTATTCCCAGAGGGCTTTGCTTTGATTTACAAATTTGTGTTAAGAGGCCCATATCAAGAACGTCGATATCAAGAATATCCAATATCAAGGATATTGAATCTAAAAATCCAGATTTCTAACTTTTCTTGAAAAATGGACTCTGCACCAATTCTGGCCTGTATGTAGTGTAAGTCTTCTAAGCTAGTTAATGAAGTCCCAGACAATGAAGTATGATACTGAATAGTTGTTTATAAAAACAGCTATTATTATGGATGCTGTTGCTTTCATATGGGCCATGTGAGGGGCTCTCCATCTCTACTCATCACTATTCACCTGACCTATTCAGTCACTCACATTTTCTGTGTGTCTATCCACTCCTGCAGCCAGCTGTTCCCTCTAGTACCAGAACCACTAAGCAAAGGGAATCTGCTCTCAGACATTTTGCTAGTCATGACACCAGTTGGGGGAAATTACATACTGTTTGTGCTGACTTATCTCATGATAACTTGATGTCATTAATTTAAGGTTGTCTGTGTCCTTAAACGTTTACCCGGACGTCTTATTGTTTTACAGGTGCACTGCCTCATGACCAACTTAAGAGATCATAAAATGTGAAGACACATGCTTGTTACCTCCTATAGATCAGGAGAGGCTGTTGGGAGTCACTGGTGGGTGCGAGAGGCCTGAGGGAACATTCCCATACTCCTTTTCTTCAGGACACAAAGCTAACTTAACTTGGGGCATAGACTTAATTCCTATAGTTCAAGCATTCAGAACACGAAGTCTTCGATCTCTGAGGTGTTTCTGGTTTCTCTTCTCTCAGAATGGGCTCCTTCCTGGTGTCTCCATAGCTTCCTGGGTCTGTTTCTATTCTTGCTCACCACGGCGTACTGTATAGCATGTTACTGTGCTCCACTTATAGGAGACCCATGACCAGCATGCCAAGCCTAGTCAGCCCTTGAGGGAAGATCCAGGGACCCAGGACACAGCCCCCTTCATTTCCACATTAGCCTTTCCCCAGAGCAGTTACTGGGAGAGGCTTGAAACCCTGATGCCCTTAGATATCATGTGACAAAACTCAGCACATCAATTTTCCAGTGACATTTAGTGTCCCTGGGCTCTGCCTTCTATCTCATCTGTACTCTAAGTAGCTTCCTATCTCTTGATCACAAGGTCCTCACAGAGGGTTTTATAGACAGCCCGTCTCTTCCATGGTCTCCTGGGAACAGACCTAAAAACGCCAATCAATTCATTTAGCTAGTTGGTGTTCTGCTGTCTCTGCGTCGTTTCCCGGTGCCCATTCAAATCGCAGTATTTACTCACCCCAGCCTGAATGGCAGCTTCCTCCAGCCTTTGACACAAGTGAGTGCATGACCTTTGGCCACTGGCAAAGGATAGGGTTGCACCCTTTCTCTCTATTCAAGGGCTGAGCTTTACTGTGGAAGTTCCCTAGATACCTTCAAGATCTGGGCTTGTGAAGTACAAGCTGGCTCTGCCAAGTGGAAGAGCCACTGGGTACTGGCTGTGTCTTCTCAGCATTCACAAAGCTCCCCCGTGTTCTGTCTTGATGCCTACAGGATGTTTGTTTTTGATTATGTGGGCATTTGTGTGGTATGATTTCTAAGGACACATTAATTCTACTTACCCATTTTCCAATCTGTTTATACATGCTTGAAATTGCTTTGACAAAATTTTCATTTACAGGTAACCAGGTAACGTTGTTAAGAGCCACAGTTACTTATGAGTTTACTATTATATAAATATATATATATATATATATATATATATATATATTATGTATACATATATATGTATATATATAATGTCATATATTACAAACATATATGTTAATATAAACTTTCGAAGGCCATAACACGTATACAGGGAAGTATATACATGGTGTCTGTAAAAGAGCCACTCACATCATCAGCACTCCAGTCAGATAGACGATTCTCATTCTCAGAGCACTCACCTCATGTCTTCTTCCGTTTCCAATCTTGTTCCTTGGTCCTCACCGATGACTTACAGCAAGATATTGTACATTCATTTGCTTGTTTTCAAATTGCTGGATGAAATTTTATCTACTTACTTGTACAGCATATTGCTTTGAAATACGTTTACAATGTGGAAAGACTAGATATACCTAATTAATATGAGTGTTGCTCTACATAATCATTACATTTGTTTGCTTTGCTCTTTATATAGATGGAACCATATCATGTATCCCCTCACATTTGCAATTCTTCTGCTGAACATTACATTTTTTTCAATGTGTGATTATTTATTTGTTATCCTTAAAGACTTATTTTTGACTGGACTCAGACTTAGAAGTAGAAGCTTTCAGTGAGGACAGCCTACATCTCTTGGCGATCTGTTCCTGGCGCTTTCTCTGGCTTCCTTCATTCTCTTGGCCAAAAGTTTAGCATATTCTGCAGCCTCCTCCTTGTTTTTCTTAGTTCGGTGTTTCTTAAGAGCAATACGACGCCGTTTGTGTTGCAGGACACATGGAGTAATAAGACACTGAATCTTGGGCGCTTTGGTCCTGGGCTGTTATGACAAATCTTTCTGCCAAAATCTGCCTGAGCCCCACCGCCACGTGTGAGCTTTACACCAGCCACCCGCCCGAGTTAGGCCCAAATGAATACACAGAAACTTGTATTAGGTTCAAAGATGTTTATTCAATGACTAGGATTCTCATCTGTTAGCTCAGTCTTAACTATCATAAACCTATATATTTTATAAGACTTATCTTATCGGCGCCTTATTGACGTCCCTCCTTGCCAGTGGATCACATTGTGCCACTGGAGCAGGAGCGGAGGGGAAAAGAGGGCTGCTTCCTGTTTCTCCTTCTTTATATATGAGTCTCCTTGCTATGTCACTTCCTGTCTGGATCACCACTTCTCTACTACATTTCCCAGAATCTTCTTTGACTCCTAGTCCTGTCTAACTTACTGTCCCATTGGCCAAACAGTATTTTATTTAACAATCAATAAGATAAACATACACAGTACATTCTCAATCACTGGGCTTCTTACCTTTTTTGTTTAAAGGCTTTCTTACAACATATTGGCGGACATCATCGTCTTTAGAGAGATTAAAAAGCTTTCGAATTCTGCTAGCTCTTTTAGGTCTCAACCAACGAGGAACAATAGTATCTGTCAGTTCAGGAATATCCTTCATTCCTTTTTTTACAATAAAAAAGTTGAGAACACTCAGATTGGCATCCACGATGCATCCTCAAACAGACTTGTGCTTCCTCTCTCCAGTTCTCCTTGGTCTATAACAAGAATGCCCCTTACTCAACACAGGGCACACTCTGCCATGGGTCAAAGTGCCTTGCTTTATGGGAAAACCTTGTTTGTCATTCCCGCCACTGATTTGGACCACATAGCCCTTCCACTCTTCACCCAGAGCATCAGCAGGTACTTCTGTGGCCGTGAGCTTCTCATAGAACATACGAAGCTTGCATTCATCGTCCACTTGGATGAGTTTCTGGCAGCTGGTGGCCGGGAAGGAGATATTCATCTTCATCTTCACACAGATGGCTGACTAGGAGGTGCCACAAAAAAGAGACCTAACTTTCACTTAACCCAGGTCACATAGTGAGCGCGCTCTCAATTCTCCCCCACATTGCATTTTTAAGATTCATCCGCATTATTGTGTTTAGTTGTAGTTTGTCCATGTTTTTTCTGTATAGTATTCTATTTTTCACTTAACCCAAAATTTATTCAACTACCTTAATTGGGTTACTTCTAGTTTCCTTCCTTCCTTCCTTCTTCTTTTTTTTTGTGGGGGGGTTTTGAGACAGGGTTTCTCTATGGCTTTAGAGGCCATCCTGGAACTAGCTCTTGTAGACCAGGCTGGTCTCGAACTCACAGAGATCCACCTGCCTCTGCCTCCCAAGCGCTGGGATTAAAGGCGTGCACCACCAATGTCCAGCTTGCTTCCTTCCTTCTTAATGGATTTGCTATGAATAGTCTAGTTCAGGTCTTTCAGTGATTATGAGCATTTCGTTGTTAAAGAATGGAATGAAACATTCATGTTTATTTAACATTAATCAGTATTATTCAGCACTGTTTCCAACTCTCTGCACCAGGATGCCAAGTTAAGGTCAGGGCCCATCTTCAGCATCTCTACATCAGCTGCCTTCTCCTTTGTCCACTCTGGTATGCAATCACCTGATCTGCCTTTGCCCCGTAGCAGTAAATGTCAGTGCTTTGCTGTATATGTATCGCCATGTTCTGTCTTCTGTGGATGATCCTTTGAGTCTTTTGCCATTTTTTTTCTCCTACAGGGCTTCTGATTTTAATGTAACATGTTTTCAGTGCTTTTAAAAGCAAGTTCTTTGTTTTTACTTTTATCTGTATGAGCATTTCACCTGCATGTATGCCTGTACATCACATATGTGACATTCCTGTGGAGGCAGAAGAGGGCATTAGATGCCCTGGAACTGGAGTTGCAGATGATTATGAACTGACATGTGGGTGCTGGGAACCAAACCTGGGTTCTCTGC